TTACTCTTTGCACATGATTTGATGGAATACTTGGAAAATTCCAGAGAATCAACTAAAAAACTAGTTGAAATAATTAACAACTTTAGTAAAGTTGTAGGATATAACATAAACCCCCACAAATCATCAGCATTTCTATATATTACCAACAAAGTCCAGCAGCAAAAGATAGAAAGAAAAATTCAATTTAAAATAATTATAGACAATATAAAATACTTCGGAGCCTACCTGCCAAGACAAACCCAGGAACTATATGAACACAATTACAAAACATTTTTGACACAAATAAAGTCAGATCTAAACAAACAGAAAAATATTAATTGTTAATGGGCAGGCCAAGCCAACATAATAAAAATGACAATTCTACCTAAATTAACATACTTACTCAGTTCCATACCAGTCAAATTACCAAAAAATTATTTTATAGAGCTAGAAAAAATAGTAACAAAATTCATCTGGAAGAACAAAAAGTCAAGGATATCAAGGGAATTAATGGGGGAAAAATGTAAAGGAAGATGGCCTAGCCGGATCAGATCTCAAATTATATTATAAAGCAGTAATCATCAAAACTATCTGGTACTGGATATGAAATAGAGTGTTGGATGAGTGGAATAGATTAAGTACACAAGACACAGTAAGAAATGACCAGAGTTATACAGTGTTTGATAAACACAAAGATCCAGAGGTTTGGGACAATTACTCACTATTTGACAAAAGCTGCAGGGAAAACCAGAAAGCAGTTTGGCAGAAACCAGATATAGACCAATACCTCACACCACATACCAAGATAAGGTCAAGATAGGAACATGATTTAGTCATAAAGAGTGATACCATAAGCAAATTAGGGAAGCAAGGAATAGTTTACTTGCCAGATCTATGCAAAGGGGAGAATTTATTACCATACAAGAGATAGTGAACATTATGAAATGCAAAATGGATAATTTTGATTACATTAAATTAAAAAGTTTTTGCACAAACAAAACCAATGCAGCCAAGTTTAGAAGGAAAGTAGAAAACTGAGGGGGAAAAATTTTATGGCAAGTTTCTCTGATCAACGCCTCATCTCTCAAATATATAGAGAATTGAATCAAATATATAAGAATATGAGTCATTTGCCAATTGATAAAGGGTCAAAGGATATGAAAAGGCAATTTTCAGGCAAAGAAATCAAAGCTATCTGTAGTCATATAAAAATGCTCTAAATCAGTATTAATTAGAGAAATCAAATTAAAACAACTCTGAGTTACCACCTCAGATCTATCGGATTGGCTAATATGACAGAAAAGTAAAATGACAAATGTTGGAGGGGATGTGGGAAAATTGGGACACTAATAAACTGTTAGTAAAGTTAGTGAATTGATCTAGCCATTCTGGAGAACAATTTGGAACTATGCCCAAAGGGCTATTAAATTAAACCCTTTGACCCAGCAATATCACTACAAGGTCTGTATCTCAAAAGAAAAGGTCCTATATGTACAAAAATATTTATAGCAGCTCTTTTAGTGGTATCAAAGAATTGGAAATTGAGGGGATGCCCATCAATTAGGGAATGGCTAAACAAGTTGTGATATGATTGTGATAGAATACTATTGTGCTATAAGAAATGATGAGCAGGATGGTTTCAGAAAAACCTGGAAACACTTACATGAACTGATACAAAGTATAGCAAGAAGAACCAAGAGAACATTGTACATAGTAACAGCAATATTGTACAAGGATCAACTGTGAATGACTTAGCAATTCTCAGCAATTCAAAGATCCAAGACAATTCTGAAGGACTTAGGATGAAAAACGTTATCCTCCTCCAGAGAAAAAAACTGATAGAATCTGAATGCAGATCAAAGCATGCTGTTTGTTTACTTTCTTTATTTTTCTTGTTTTTTTATCTGTTTTCTTTCATAACATGACTAATATGGCAATATTTTTTGTGATTGCACATGTATAACTTTTATCAAATTGCTTGCCTTCTCAATGATGGGAGTGATGGAGGAAGGGTGGGAAAAAATTTGGAACTTTAAAAATGAAGGTTAAAATTTGTTTTTACATGTAATTGGGAAAAAATAAAATGTTATTATTTTTTTAAAAACCACATCACCTGAGAAGACAAAGCAAGTTTTACCTGAGGAAAATGCAAACTAGACAGCTGTGGAAAGGAAAGCAGGGGAGGCAGGAGGAGGTTAAGGGACAGAAACACTATTCTTCTCTCAACATGCATACCAACATATAATCAACAATAAATTCACCAAAATAAAATTAGAAAAAAATTCCATTAACTCATTTCATTTCACAGATTTGCTACGTGTTTTGTGTGCAGATATGACAGGTAAAGTGAATAATTCTATTTTGAGAGATCATTCTGCCTCTGCCTATCTGGATGACTTTACTAAACCGAGAGTATCAGATTTTATTTTGGGCACTTGACTGGTATCAACAAAAGGAAAGGGTTTCTGAGAAAAGCTACTGCAACAGGGGGAGGGATCCGTTTTTGATAACCTAGAACTCCTCACAAAGTGGTTAAATAAAGGATAAAACAAAATTATTTAGCATGGAAAAGGGATTGGGATAAAGGGGAATTACTAGGAAGAGTGGGATGAAATTAGAACGTTTGGATTCCATTTAAGGTAACAGATACTACATCCTGTCAGAAACTGGGTGCTGAGGAACACTGCTAAAATTGAATGTGAGTTTGAACAACTGCAATGAGATGGAAACTTAAGGAAGTATTAGGAATACAAAGGCTTGAAAGCATTAATGGGGTAAATTCCTCCTAAATTTTGAGAGGCAAGGGCAACTTTGAGCTATTGCTGGAATTTTACCATGAAATACATCTAAAACTTGGTGAATTTTTGTTTTTGTTTTCCCAAGCTAAGAGAATCTGATATCTAAAGAAGAAAGTTAACATTCTTTTGGTCACTGCAAGGTAATAGCAGTTAGAGAGTTATATTGTCTTTGGGACTGAGGGCTGGAAGAAAGAAGATGGTATTGATGTTCAAAAGATCAAGTCCCAGTTTAAATGCCAGCTTGCCTGGCTGTGCAGGCCTCCTCCTCCTTCAGTGGGTCATTATGGACCATGATTTCTGGAGCCACCCTTTGAGTTACCTTGAACTCCTGGGCAATACCAGAGAACCACAAGGGACCATCTGCCGCAGAGCTGACCCAGGGACAACACCCCCTTAAACAGCCCCATACAAATACCCTGGGGGCAAGAAATTGCAACCACCCCTTTTGTCAGAAAAAGAGGGACTTAGATTATTGCTACCATTTTGCCCAGGAGTTCAGTCACCTGGCTCTCCTGGACTTATATCCCTGTACTTAGGAAGAGGTGAGGTGTGGCATTCTTCTCTAAACTCCAAATCCCTTTCCTTTCCCCACCACGATCAAAACTACAAAGTGGTTAGTCCATTCAAACGTCCCTGTGAACCTCTTGAGGGTTAGGATCATGTCTTTTTTATCTTTGCATTGCCCATGGCACCCAGCAAGCAAAGTGCCTTACTATATAGTAGGGAGTCAGATGTTTGTTGAATAATTAAAAAAGAACAAAGAAGAGACAGATAAATCTATGTAATCACCCTCCTGGTTCTTGTTACTATTAAGGGCAATTCTACAGAATCTCATCACCAGCAGCCTGAGTCATTTCCTTTGGCATGAAGCATTTGTTGCTTCTTAGCATCTTTCTATGTGTGATGCCAACTGTATATAGGCCAGATGTTTTATACCTTGTTACAGCCCCAGGAATGTAGGATGGTGGCTTGTTTTGTGGGTGGATACTCAATAAATGTTTTCTGGAATTGATGATGATTTCAGTTCTCATCTACCAATCTCAGACTAGATGAAGACATAACAATAATGGAACTTAAAAAAAAAAAGCAGCACTCTCCCTAATAATAGTAATACCTAACATTTCTATAGCACTTAGTATGTGCCAGGAACTGTGATAAGCACTTTGCAAATAATATCTCATTTGATCTTCACAACAACCCTGGGAGATGGGTGCTATTATTACCCCCATTTTACAGATAAGGAAACTGAGGCAGACTGTTAAGTGACTTACCCAGGATCACATACTAAGTGTCTGAATCCAGATTTGAATTCAGGTCTTCCTGATACCAATTCCAGGGCTCTATCTACTGAGCTTCCTTGTTACCTCTTTCTTTGCCAAAGTATCATCTCAGTGGATTGTAATAGGCTAAGGGACTCAAGACTTTGGAATTTCAATAGAAACTTTGTCAAGGATTCACTGCAAGGCTTGGGAGAAATGGTTTCATTTCCCTGGATCGTGATTCATTGATGTGTAAAACAGGCATCTATCTGCTTTTTTAAAATGTAAAAAAGGAAAGACACTAAATATTATTGATGATTCTAATCCCTCCCATCTACTAGACTAGATGGGGATAGAGCTGTTTCAGAATAGCTATCTCTTGAAACAGTGCTTTCTCATCCATTCTCCTTCACTTAGAATGACATTATTTAACTCATAGACAAAATCAAGTGTGTGTTGGTAAATGTTTAAAAACTGGCGCTCAAGGAAAAATAATGTATGCATCATGTACACAATGTACAATGTATTTTAAGTTTAATCTTCATTATTAACATTTCTACATCATTTTCTTAAATCTAGAAAACCAACAAAACAATGAATTAAGCCCTGATTTCCAAGGTGTAAATGCTACAATGAAAATTTAACAATTGGCTTTTGGGAGCCATTGGAGCTGGAATGAACACACCCCTGGATGAAAACACTCTATAAAGCGAGCTACTAGTATATCTCTAACCTTGTTTAGTAAGGAACTTCCTACTACTGGTTATGTTCAGGCTGAGACTGGATGATCACCAGTCACCCTTCATGGAACAGGATATTAGAGTGCATGAGCTCTAAGAATCTACAGTTCATGGGATCATGGAGTCACAGATTTAGAGCAACAGCAGGCCTTAGAAATCCTCCAGCACAACCATCTTACTTTACAGATGAGGGAACTGACGCCCAGAGAGATTAAGTGATTTACCCAACATCCAGCAGCAGCTCCAGTGATCGGAATCCAAGTTTTCCAACTCCAAATGCAGCCCTCTTCAATGCAGTAGAGATGATGCCCAAGGTAGAACCTACATTCTCAATATGCCTGTCACTCCTGCCCTGCACAGAGCTAGCTAGCAAAATTGAGCACGGGGAAACATCTCTGACTCACACCTACAGCTGCTTCTGGGCAAGAACCAGTGTCACTCTCTCCTTCCTCCTCTCCCCACCCCCTTCTTTCTTTATATCACTCCTCTCTCAGCTTAAAAAGGGGACTGGATGTTGTACAATATTAATAAAGTTAGAAAACATAGGTTCTCCTAGGCTCACTTTCTTTTTTGTCATTACTAAATTTTTTTTATTAACAGAAATCTAAATTCTCTCCCTCAACCCTACAATATTGAAAAGAAAAACAAAATGCTTTGTAACAAATATGTTATAGTAAAGCATAATGAATTCCCTCATTGTCCATGTCCAAAAAATACATGTCTCATTCTGAACCACGAATCTATCACCTCTCACAGCATGGTCCTCTGGAATGATGGATACTCATTGTGTTGATCAGTTTTTACAGTTTTCAAAGTTGTTTGTCTTTACAATGCTGTTATTATTTAAATTGTCCTCCTGGTTCTACTCATTGAATTTTTCATCAGTTTATTCAAGTCTTCAGAATTGTTCATTTTTATAATACTGATGTTATAGTATAAATTATTCTTCAGGTTCTGCTCACTTCACTCTGCATTAGTTCACATAAGTCTTTCCATGTCCCTCTGAAAACATCTATTTTCTCATTTCTTACAGCATAATAATATTCCATTACATTATTTTACCAAAGTATGTTCAGCCACTCACCAATTGATAGACATCCTCTCAGTTTCTAATTATTTTTTACCACCATGGAAAAAGCTGCTATAAATATTTTGTACCTATAGGACCCTTCTCTACTTCTTTGATCTCTTTAGGGAATTATATTAATAATAATAACAGTAACTAGCATTTATATAGCTCTTTAAGGTTTATACCCACTTTACAAATATTTTCACATTTTATCCTCACAATCCTGATTTGTAGTTGCTTTAAATACTCTGCATTTTACAGATAAGGAAACTGAGGCATACAGAGGTTAAGTATCTTGCTCAGAGTCATACAGCTAGTAAATGTCTGAATTTAGCACTTGCTGACTCCATTTCTAGTACTCTATATGCCGTACCACCTCATTGTAGGACAAACAATGAAACAGCTGGGTTAAAGGGTAACTTTTTGTGTCTAATTCCAAATTGCTTTCCAAAATAGCTGTTGAGTAATGTCCAATTCTTCAAGACCCCATTTGGAATTTTCTGGGCAAAGATGCTGGAGTGGTTTGCCATTTCCTTCGCCAGCTCATTTTTTTACAGATGAGGAAACTGAGGCAAACAGGGTTAAGAGACTTGCCCAGAGTGACACAGTAGGTATCTGGGACCAGATTTGAACTCAAATCTCTTGACTCCAGGGTTGGTGTTCTTTCCACTGAGTCTCCTAGCTGCCCTAATGGTTGTACCTATTCACAAATTTACCAACAGTGAGTCTACTAATGTGCCTATTTTCCTACTACACTTCCAACATTTGTCATTTTCTTTTTGTTACATTCAACAATCTCATGGGTGTAAAGTAGAAACTTAGAAATGTTTTAATTTGCATTTCCCTAATTATTAGTGAGTTCGATCATTTTTTTTATATGGCTGTAGATAGCTTAGGTTTTTCCTCCTGAGAACTGCCCACACATATACTACCATTAATCAATTGAGGAATGGCTTTTATCCTTAAAAAATTTTAATCAATACCTGATATATCTTGGAAATGAGACCTATATCAGGGAAACTTGCTACAAAGATTTTGATTACATAAAATCATAAAATTTTTGCACAAATAAATCCAGTAAAGCTAGGATTAAAAGAGAAACAATTAACCAGGCCCATTTTCCTGATTCTTAAGTCCCTATAGAGGTCCTTCTCCAACCCAGTGAGTTTTAAACTTTTTTAGTCCATGTCCTAACTAACTCTATCAGCTTCCTGATACCCAAAAGAATGTGAGAATAGCACTGATGTGGGGTAAGCCACCAAAGAAAAAGAGTCTCAGAAAATTATTAACTACTGCCAGAAACAAAAGTACAATATAAACATTGTTATAGAATCATTCATTCATTTTAAAATGTATTAAAAACATACTATGTGCAAAGCACTGTGCTAGGCATTTGGAACCAATCAGTGAGTAAGTATTTATGTACCTACTATGTGCCAGGCACTCTGCTAAGCATTCAAGATAAAAAAGAAAGATAAGGATGAAGAAGAGAATTCCAGGCATGAGGGACAGCCAATGAAAATGTCCAGAGTTGGGAGATGGATTGTCTTGTACGACAAACAGCAAAGAGGCCAGTGTCACTGGATTGCAATATATATTGAGGAAGAATTAATATAGAAGAAGACTGCAAAGATAGGAGGGGACCAGATTGTGAAGGGCTTTAAATGCTGAAAGATTTTGTATTTATCCTGTAAGTAATTGGGAAGCACTGGAGTTTACGGAATTGAAGGAGAAATTAGAAAAGTTGATTGGTCCAGTCTGTGCTTAAGAGAGATTGATTTGACAGCTGAGTAAAGGATGGACTGGAGTGGGATGGTGCTTGAAGTAAGGAAACCAACCCCAAAGCCTATTGCAATAGTCTAGGCATGAAGTGAAAAGGGCCCACATCAGAGTGGTGTCACTGCCAGAGAGAAGTAGAAATAAATAAGAGATGTCACAAAGATAAAATCATCAGGCCTTGGCAACAAATTTTATATGGGGGGGGTGCAGTGAAAAGAATGAAGAATTGTCAGTCTGAGTGATTAGATATACTGAGCTTAAGGAGTCTATGACACAACCAATTTGAAATATCCAAGAGGTAGCTAGAGCTAGAAGACCAGAGGATAGGACAGAGGTTAGGGTTAGATAAGTAAATCTGAGATAATAGAGTAAATAGAGATAATAATCGAATCCATAGGAACTGATAAGATAATCAAGAAAATGGGAGAAGGACCAGGACAGAGCTCTGGTGGACACCTATTGCTAGCATTTGTGATCCAGAGGAAGATCCAGCAAAGGAAACCATGAAGGGGTGATCAGACAGGTAGGATGAGAACCAGGAGGGAGTAGAGTCACAAAAATCTAGGGGGAGAAAGAGTATAAAGGAGAAAAGGAGGATCAACAATGTCAAAGGCTGGAGAGAAATCAAGAAGGATGAAGACTGGAAAAAGGCCATTAGATATGGCAATTAAGAGACCATTGATAACATCAGTGAGAGCAGTTTGAATGATGAGGTAAAGAGTTAAGAGGAGAATGAGAGAAAAGAAAGTGGAAACAATGATTGTAGACAGCTTTCTCAAGTTTAGCTGTAAAAGGAAGAAGAAATATGGGACCATAGCTGGTACGGATGGAAGGATCAGGTGGGAGTTCATTAGGACTGGGAAGACACGGGCATGTTTGTAGAAAGTAGGAAAGGGCCGGTAAATAGGGAGAGATTTAAGATAAGTGAGAATGGGAATAATAGGAAGGTAATCTGCTGGAGAAGATGAGATGGAATAGGATCATCTGGTCATATAAAGGGGTTAGCCTAGGGGCAGAATATCCTCCCAGGACCCCCCTTAAATCACATATACTATGTAACTAACCATGTAAGAATCATAACTGACGTTGGGTTTGCAAAAGTTTTCACACACATTATCTATTTAATACTCACAATAACCCTACAAAATATTGTTACACCCTTGTTTTACATGTGAGGAAATGGAAAGTGAGAGAGACTAAATAACTGGGTCACATAGCCGATGTGTCTGAAGTCAATTCTGAAACTAGATCTTTTTATTACACCAAGTAAAGATAGATAGATAGACAGACAAACAGACAGATAGATGTAGATGAGGATGGATGGATGGATGGATACACAAGACAGATGAGAATAGATGGATAAACAGACAAGAGATAGATCATAGATGGAAGATAGATGGATAGATAGGAAGGGTGGATGGATAGATAGGAATAGATAGATAAGGATGGATAGATAGAAAGATAAGAAATGTCATAGGTGGACGATAAATAGATAGATATGAATGGATAAATAGATAAGAGATAGAGCATAGATGGATAATAAAGATAGACATAAGGATAGAGAAATAGATGGATGCATGGATGCTATTTCACTATTACAGTCTCATTCTTTTGAGTCTTGAAGGCTCTTCTATCTTCAAAAGACTCCTTTTAAAATTCAAATCAGTTGTATCTCTGATGTCCATAAATGGTATAATGGAAAGAATCATATCTGGAGTTAGAGGATCTGAATTTTCACAACCTCAATGGGTAGCTTTTGGCTGCTTGGAACTGGGGACTAGAAGTAACTTGTAATGGAGCTATCTTTGAGTGTGTGGCTTGAAAGGAGGCAGAATAGGTATCTCTGGACAATTTTTCCTTCACCTTTCTCCAAGGGAAAAGCTCATTCCTGCCAGGAGAAGAAGCACAAGGTTGGAGCTGAAAGCCACCACTCTGCTCTCCTCAGAGGGAAGTTGGGTACCAAACTAGAATTATCTGCTCCCTTAATTATTGTTCCTCAAGGGGATATGACTGAATTTGAGCTAACTTTTAATCATTTTGCCATTCCTTGGAGGAAGGGGGCCCCAAGCCCAATATCCAAGGCTTGACTCCTTTACCATCAAATACTAATTCCATAATGAACACACATAGACAATAAATAGCAAAGAAGCCCATTTATCCAAATCATAGCAAAACAGAAATTATAGAAGGTATAGATAGGAGAATATATACCAGACAATAAAAGGTGAAGGAGCTCTCCTGTTGGGAGCAAAACAACTCAGCTCAACCAAGAGAGAAGAATGTCCTGGATCTTACCTAAAGGGAAACTCCCCAGAGTCTCTAGAGCAGCAGGCTAGATATGTGAACATGATGAAGACTGCCAGCTTCTCTGACGTCTTCCCAGAGTCTTCACCATCAGAAACCTGACGTGCAGTTGGCCTCTTTCATTATCTCTCTTGAAGCTGGAAGCTGACTCCACACTACCTACATTCGAAAGAAGACTTTCCCTTGAAGAATCCCTAAGGGAATTCCCTCTTGAAGAGATCCCCAAATGGGGACTGGCTGAACACT